GAGGGGGGAAGAGAGAGAAGGGGGGGGGGAAGAGGGTGGAGAGGGCGGAGAATGAAATGTGGAGGCAGCGATGAAGGAGGGATAGAATCGAGCGTGGTCCGTTCGCGATCGGGATTGAATGTTATAGATCGTCTTCCTGGTGGCTCTCGTGTTGTTGTTGCTTTTGGTGTTGTTTTCGATTGTTGTCGATGATCATGCCTTCACTCGTGCTAACCGTTCGGACCGTCGACTTCCCGCGGCGATCCTTTGGCCGGAGACGGCCACTTTTGATGCAATCACCCGGTTTTTAGAAAGCCTCCCTCTTAGGCAATAACTGTCCTTCAAGCGGGCGTCACGGTGCACCATGGTCTGTACATGAGGCTAAGTGTGCAAACGTTTCCACCTGGTGGGTGGGGGCACAGCAAACGGTACCTGCCCCCCCGTCCTCTGGAGGACGCGTGGTCAATGGTCTAACGGCTGTGATGCAACACGTTAGAGCCTGGTCCCGTGAGAACCCCGCGTGCTCCGTCCCGGCGTCCCCCCCCCCTCTCTCATGCGTGAAGGCTGGACCCGAGCATCTACGAGGCTCTGCAGAAGGAGGGAGTGGCCGTCGGAGACGTAGTGTACGTGGAGGCTAACAGCGGGGCTGTCAAGCGGGTCGGTCGATCGGACGCCTATGCGACGGTGGGAGCCAAATCTCTTTTTCATCTTGTTTTGCTGCTTTGCTGTGAGCGGTGGAATTGTTGTTGTTGCTGTTGTTGTTGTTAGTCCTTCCGTTGGCGGCGATTTTTTGATCGAGCGAGAAGTGTGATTGTTGACGCTGGTGAAGCGCCGTCGTCAGCTGTGGCGAGCACCTGCGCTTTCCGTGAAACAAGACGGAACTCGAATCGATGTGCCCGTGACAGTCCAGATATGTAGCGTGGAATTTTGACGAGGGACCAAAGTTGTTCTTCGAAAGGAGTCTTCTGCACTAACATGGGTAATTTCTGATGGCTGCACGTACCCGTTTGCCGATCGTACGCACTCCTTTTACGGTTTTGTCTGCAAAGGTGTTGTTTGCCGTTGAGTGAAGGTGCCAGGAGATTCTTAGACTCGGCCAACCGGTCCCAACCCACCACCCACACTCACACCGCTGTTCGGTGTCCCCCCGGCCTTATCGCCCTTGCTTTTCATTGTCTCGGTCTGTGTGTACATGTTTATTTGTTCTTAATATGACACAACCAATCCACCTATATCTTAAAATAGAAAATAGTCTAAGGTAGATAAGCAACGGACTCAAAGCGTCAGTGGAAGCTACCTGTATTTCTACATATTCCCGAGCAGCACAAAGACTCACCCAACCCCCTCCCCCCTGGCGTATCGCCCTTGATCTTGATATGTTGGCATTGTGTTTGTTCAGGAGTTCGATCTGGAGGCGGAAGAGTACGTGCCCCTGCCAAAGGGAGAGGTCCACAAGAAGAAGGAGGTGTGTGTCGCAGCAAGAAGGGAGCTACCCTGTCTGTTTGTTTTTCCAGTTTTTTTTTTTTTTGCAATATTTTGTGTGTGGTAAGGAGTTGTGTTTGTCTGAAAAAGCGCCTTGAAACATCGCCCCGTGTCCGCTGGCGTTGGTGCTGCGCACTTCCGCTGCATATGTCATCCATAGGTCGGGCGCGAAATGTTCTGGTGCTTTGACTTTCCCGCGTGCCCACCACCTTTGGCGAAGTGGGAAGGAACGACTGGTCATGGGTGATCGGTCCTTCCTCTCGAGTCACGCGTGGTCAATGGCCTCACCGCTATTTAAAAGTCACGCAACGCTTAAGAGTGCGCCTAAGCTCCGTCCTCTCGGGAGAACGAGGCGTGGTCAAAGGTCTAACAACAGCGGCATGCGAAACAAACATAAGTAACCCCCCCTGGTGTCTCGTCGGTCGATGTTGTTTCCCGTCGACGGCATAGATCGTGCAAGACGTTACCCTCCACGACCTGGACGTTGCGAACGCTCGCCCGCAAGGGGGGCAGGACGTCCTCAGCATGATGGGGCAGCTCATGAAGCCCAAGAAAACGGAGATCACGGAGAAGCTCCGGACGGAGATCAACAAGGTGCTCTGCCGCCTCCAAAGTCTTCCACTATTCATGTCGAAGTGTCCCCCCCCCCCCCCCCCCCCCCCCCCC